CCAGGAGGGACGGTGGGAGATTAGTCGTCGCTTATGGAGTTTACACGGAGGACTAAATAAAATTAACCATTAACTTGAAGTACCAATGAAAGGGGATCATAAGAATAATAAAGAGCCCTTTATCGGGATCAGTAAATTTTATCGTGACAAGCCAAAATAACCCGACCCTCCCCTCCCCCGTCCCCTCCCCCTAGTAGATAAATAACGATCTATCTCTCACTAAATTTTTTTTTTGTTAGTGGCTGTCCTTGCCCTTTTTCCTTGCCTACCGTTTGGTTGTCTCTGGTTACAATTTCGCCTGGCTTCTCTACAACATTTACCTCTACCGGGCTAAGCTGTTCATTTTCCTGACAAACTGGACTTACCTCATCCTCAACCTGTTTTTCCTGCAAGCCACATCACTCTCCCTTTGCGCTTTTTGTAACGAATACCGAAATAGCCGTGGAACTCACCCCAATACTAACGACAAACCAGAGTCGAGCGTCGCGGTCGAGATGGGATCTGGTGACGACAAACCCGAAAGTAGTGAAACCGCGACTGAAGTAGCTCACGATGAAGATGCTCTGCGGTTTCATCACAAATTTTTTTGGCTTCTTTACATCATCAGTGCCAACGCAGGTTTATTAGTGACCGTAGGGTACTGGACAGTGTTGTATGAAGAAGACGAACCAGTCGACCTGAACAATATAACCAAGCACGCCCTCAATTCCGCGTTCATGGTGATTGACACATTCCTTAGCTCGATCCCAGTACGCCTCTTCCATTTTATATACGCCCTGGTTTATATCGTCGTATACCTGGCCTTTACTGTGGTTTATTGGCAGCTGGGCGGCACTAACACCCAAGGGCAGCCTTATATCTACAAACTACTTGATTACAACAACTTCGAAGCGTCCACTGGCTGCCTGGTAGCTTTTTTTCTTCTCCTTGTTTTGCCAGTTTTACAGCTGATGTTGTTTGGTCTCGTCAAGTTGAGAGATTGCCTTCGAGGAACACAACAAAATGACTAAATCTCTCCTTACATTTCTTCTCTTGAAAAGGAATTTGAACAGTTACCTCTTCCGATTGCACTTCTTCCAGTACAGTATAATAGGAGGCTGTGTCCATAAAAGGCCCGTTAGGCAAAACCTAAACACGAGAGCCCGCATGCAGGCGAAACGGCGG